TTCAAAAAACCTGCAGTAAAAAAATCATTTTTAATTGATCCAAGGTCATTTGGGCCAATTCACCTGAAAACCTCAGGGCCAAGAAAAATTTGTCTGGGGGCCGCATTTGGCCCACAGGCCATAGTTTGGACATGACTGATTTAAATCCTTGAGGATCTGGGGAATCACTGCCAACACAGAAAGTGTCTGTTCTCTGATTGGTCGATGTGACGTCTACAACTGTCTGGTGTTTCTGGTCCTGACCTGGAGCTGCAGAGACACTAGGAGGCGCCACACTGAATACAAACATGTCCTGAAATGTGAAATCATTCTCTTTTCTGGTGGACATGTTTTTGGTTTACACATAACGCAGGCAGGTTACAGGTGAGATCTGTGGAGAGGTGAGCTGTGTCTTAATGAAATAAATGACAGAAACATGTGAATTGTGTAAAATGTAAATAAAAGAGATCTGAGTTTAAATGTAAAAGTTGGACCTGTTTGACGTCCTGCTGGAACACGCAGAGCTGCAGGCGCTGGTGGAGGCGGAGCTTACGGTGCTGCCACGCCCCCTCCACTTTGTGATGGCCCTGAGACAAAAACAGCTCATTTACATATTCATTTACATTTTCATTTACATATTCATTTACATATTCATGAACCGTATACAGGTGTTAAAACTCTACAGGAGACTCAGTGTGGACCAGACTGATCCTGTACCTGCAGGACCTGGTGCAGGACGGCCATGATGCCGTGTGTGGCGGCGGTGAAGTCCGGTTTGGTCTCGCTTTGGTCCGACTCGGAGGCGGGACTTCGCTGGAGCGCGTCCAATAAGATTTTACCGCTTTCACTGATCTGAGGTCAGACAAGAAGTATGTTATTATAAAAGGACTAAACCAGGTCTAAACCAGGACTAAACCAGGTATAAACCAGGACTAAACCAGGAGTAAACCAGGTCTAACTGGTCTCACCTGGTTGTAGTTTTCTGAGATTTCCTCGTTGAGTTCTTGGTGTTTTTTGCTGGCCGCCTCCAGCTCAGAGGAGACGGTCGGCAAAGGTCCCTCAGAACACAACTGCACCCAGGACTCCACCTTCGACAGGAACTACGACACGACAGAGAAGAGACGTTAAACCAGAGAAGAAGAGACGTTAAACCAGAGAAGAGACGTTAAACCAGAGAAGAGACGTTAAACCAGAGAAGAAGAAGTTAAACCAGAGAAGAAGAGACGTTAAACCAGAGAGAGAAGACGTTAAAGAGAGAAGAGACGTTAAACCAGAGAAGAGACGTTAAACCAGAGAAGAAGAGACGTTAAACCAGAGAAGAAGAGACGTTAAACCAGAGAAGAGACGTTAAACCAGAGAAGAGACGTTAAACCAGAGAAGAGAGACGTTAAACCAGAGAGAAGAGACGTTAAACCAGAGAAGAAGAGACGTTAAACCAGAGAAGAGACGATAAACCAGAGAGAAGAGACGTTAAACCAGAGAAGAGACGTTAAACCAGAGAAGAAGAGACGTTAAACCAGAGAAGAAGAGACGTTAAACCAGAGAGAAGAGACGTTAAACCAGAGAAGAGACGTTAAACCAGAGAGAAGAGACGTTAAACCAGAGAAGAACGTTAAACCAGAAGAGAAGAGACGTTAAACCAGAGAAGAGACGTTAAACCAGAGAAGAGAGACGTTAAACCAGAGAAGAGACGTTAAACCAGAGAAGAAGAGACGTTAAACCAGAGAAGAAGAGACGTTAAACCAGAGAGAAGAGACGTTAAACCAGAGAAGAAGAAACGTTAAACCAGAGAAGAGACGTTAAACCAGAGAAGAGACGTTAAACCAGAAGAAGAGACGTTAAACCAGAGAAGAAGAGACGTTAAACCAGAGAAGAGAGTTAACCAGAGAAGAACGTAGACGTTAAACCAGAGAAGAGACGTTAAACCAGAGAAGAAGAGACGTTAAACCAGAGACCAGAGAAGAAGAGACGTTAAACCAGAGAAGAGACGTTAAACCAGAGAGAGACGTTAACCAGAGACGTTAAACCAGAGAAGAGAGACGTTAAACCAGAGAAGAAAAGAGAAGAGTTAAACCAGAGAAGAGACGTTAAACCAGAGAAGAGACGTTAAACCAGAGAAGAAGAGACGAAACCAGAGAGAAGAGACGTTAAACCAGAGAGAGACGTTAAACCAGAAAGAGACGTTAAACCAGAGAAGAGACGTTAAACCAGAGAAGAGACGTTAAACCAGAGAAGAAGAGACGTTAAACTTGACTCCCGTGGAGGTTCTGAGCGTCTCACCTGCTCTGCCCCCAGGTGAAAGGCCGTGGCCATGTTGAGCGTGGCGCTCCTCTGGTCGAGCGCGGCGGTCAGGGCGCTCCAGTCCTCCTGTAACCGTGACGACACTTTGGTGATGCGGTCGGCGCCGTAGTGACCCGCTTCAGCCAGACGGGCGGCGACGGTGACCACGCTGTCCACGTTCACGCTGCCGTTCTGAAGGACGCACGACACCAAGACGAGGAGTCATGGTTATAACAGGAGACAGTAGTAGTAGTAGTAGTAGTAGTAGTAGTAGTAGTAGTAGCAGTAGCAGTAGTAGTAGTAGTAGTAGTAGTAGTAGTAGTAGTAGTACTTGTAGTAGTAGTAGTAGTAGTAGTAGTAGTAGTACTTGTAGTATGACAGTACCATGCAGTTGGCGGTGAAGTGCTGGTGTTGACTCTGTAACTCCAGGGAGTGTTGATGGTTCAGTCCAACCTCAGTGATGCTCTGGAGGAAAAGCTCTTTACTGTGAGCGATCCACTCAGACATCTGTAACACAACAACACACACACATCTGTAACACAACAACACACACACATCTGTAACACAACAACACACACACATCTGTAACACACACAACACAACAACACACACACATCTGTAACACAAAACAACACACACACACAAACACACACACATCTGTAACACAACAACACACCACACACTGTAACACAACAAACACACACAATCTGTAACACAACAACACACACACACACATCTGTAACACAACAACACACACACACATCTGTAACACAACAACACACACACATCTGTACACACACAACACACACACACACATGTAACACAACAACACACACACACTCTGTAACACAACAACACACACACATCTGTAACACAAACAACACACACACACATCTGTAACACAACAACACACACATCTGTAACACAAACAACACACACACACACACACACAACACACACACACATCTGTAACACAACAACACACACACACACATCTGTAACACAACAACACACACACATCTGTAACACAACACACACACACACATCTGTAACACAACAACACACACATCTGTAACACAACAACACACACACATCTGTAACACAACAACACACACACATCTGTAACACAACAACACACACACACATCTGTAACACAACAACACACACACATCTGTAACACACATCTGTAACACAACAACACCACACATCTGTAACACAACAACACACACACATCTGTAACACAACAACACACACACATCTGTAACACAACAACACACACACATCTGTAACACAACAACACACACACATCTGTAACACAAACAACACGTAACACACACACTGTAACACAACACACACACACATCTGTAACACAACAACACACACACATCTGTAACACAACAACACACACACATCTGTAACACAACAACACACACACATCTGTAACACAACAACACACACACATCTGTAACACAACAACACACACACATCTGTAACACAACAACACACACATCTGTAAACACAACAACACACACAATCTGTAACACAACAACACACACACATCTGTAACACAACAACACACACACACACATCTGTAACACAACAACACACACACACATCTGTAACACAACAACACACACACATCTGTAACACAACAACACACACACATCTGTAACACAACAAACACACACACATCTGTAACACAACAACAACACACACACATCTGTAACACAACAACACACACATCTGTAACACAACAACACACACACATCTGTAACACAACAACACACACACATCTGTAACACAACAACAACACACACATCTGTAACACACAACACACACACACACATCTGTAACACAACAACACACACACATCTGTAACACAACAACACACACACACATCTGTAACACAACAACACACACACACATCTGTAACACAACAACACACACACACACACACATCTGTAACACAACAACACACACACACATCTGTAACACAACAACACACACACATCTGTAACACAACAACACACACACATCTGTAACACAACAACACACAACATCTGTAACACACAACACACAACACATCACACAACACACACACATCTGTAACACAACAACACGCACACATCTGTAACACAACAACACACACACACACATCTGTAACACAACAACACACACACACACATCTGTAACACAACAACACACACACATCTGTAACACAACAACACACACACATCTGTAACACAACAACACACACACATCTGTAACACAACAACACACACACACATCTGTAACACAACAACAACACACACATCTGTACACACACACAACACACACACTCTGTAACACAACAACACATGTAACACACACACACACACATCTGTAACACAACAACACACACACATCTGTAACACAACAACACACACACATCTGTAACACACATCTGTAACACAACAACACACACACATCTGTAACACAACAACACACACACATCTGTAACACAACAACACAATCATACACACATCCTGTTCAAACAGTGTGTGTGTGTGTGTGTGTGTGTTAGTGTGTGTGTCCATGCCTTATTGGTGTCCTGTTCAGTGTGTGTGTGTAGTTGTTCATACCTTAGTGGCGTCCTATTCAGTGTGTGTGTATGTTGTGTGTGTGTTCATACCTTAGTGGCGTCCTGTTCGAACAGTGTGTATATGTTGTGTGTGTTCATACCTTAGTGGCGTCCCGTTCAGTGTGTGTGTAGTTCTTCATACCTTAGTGGCATCCTGTTCAGTGTGTGTGTTGTGTGTGTGTAGTTGTTCATACCTTAGTGGCGTCCTGTTCAGTGTGTGTGTTGTATGTGTGTAGTTGTTCATACCTTAGTGGCGTCCTGTTCAGTGTGTGTGTTGTGTGTGTGTTCATACCTTAGTGGTGTCCTGTTCAGTGTGTGTGTATGTTGTGTGTGTTCATACCTTAGTGGCGTCCTGTTCAGTGTGTGTGTGTTAGTGTGTGTGTTCATACCTTAGTGGCTTCCTGTTCAGTGTGTGTGTTGTTGTGTGTGTTCATACCTTAGTGGCGTCCTGTTCAGTGTGTGTGTGTGTGTAGTGTGTGTGTTCATACCTTAGTGGCGTCCTGTTCAGTGTGTGTGTGTGTGTGTGTGTTAGTGTGTGTGTTCATACCTTAGTGGCGTCCTGTTCAGTGTGTGTGTGTGTGTGTGTGTTAGTGTGTGTGTTCATACCTTAGTGGCGTCCTGTTCAGTGTGTGTGTGTGTGTTGTGTGTGTTAGTGTGTGTGTTCATACCTTAGTGGCGTCCTGTTCAGTGTGTGTGTGTTGTGTGTGTAGTTGTACCTTAGTGGCGTCCTGTTCAGTGTGTGTGTGTTGTGTGTGTGTTCATACCTTAGTGGCGTCCTGTTCGAAGAGGTGCAGCTGTAGCGTCTGTTCGAGTTGGACCTTCCTCTCGCTCCATCGTTGGAGGAGGTGAGTTCTTCCGCTCTGCATTCGCTCCAACAGAGACGACACTTTAGGAGCGACGCTCTGGAAGTCCGCTCCCCCCGACAGCCACGTCCCTCCTCCTCCTCCTCCGCCCCGCCCCCGCCCGCCCCCGCCGCGCCCCGCCGGCCCCGCCCCCCTCAGAGGGAGCGTCGCCGTGGGAGGGGCCCAGACGCATCCTCTGCAGCAGGCTCCGCCCCTCTCGGTCCAGAGCGTCCACCGGAGCCGTGGAGATGGTGTTCCTCAAACGCCCGTGTTCCTCAAGCAACCTGCACCAAGAGACCGGGTTTAGACCGGGTTAGACCGGGTTTAGACCGGGTTAGACGGGTTTAGACCGGGTTTAGACCGGGTTTAGACCGGGTTTAGACCGGGTTTAGACCGGGTTAGACCGGGTTTAGACCGGGTTTAGACCGGGTTTAGACCGGGTTTAGACCGGGTTAGACCGGGTTTAGACCGGGTTAGACCGGGTTTAGACCGGGTTAGACCGGGTTAGACCGGGTTTAGACCGGGTTAGACTGGGGTTTAGACCGGGTTTAGACCGGGTTTAGACCGGGTTAGACCGAGTTTAGACCGGGTTAGACCGGGGTTTAGACCGGGTTAGACCGGGTTTAGACCGGGGTTAGACCGGGGTTAGACCGGGTTTAGACCGGGGTTTAGACCGGGTTTAGACCGGGGTTAGACCGGGTTAGACCGGGTTTAGACCGGGTTTAGACCGGGGTTTAGACCGGGTTTAGACCGGGGTTTAGACCGGGTTAGACCGGGTTTAGACCGGGTTAGACTGGGGTTTAGACCGGGTTTAAGACCGGGTTTAGACCGGGTTAGACCGGGGTTAGACCGGGTTTAGACCGGGTTTAGACCGGGTTAGACCGGGGTTAGACCAGGGTTTAGACCAGGTTTAGACTGGGGTTTAGACCAGTTTTTGACCAGGGTCAGTCCAGGGTTTATACCAGGGTTTAATCCGAGTTTAGTCCGGGTTTAGACCGGGTTTAGACTGGGGTTTAGACTGGGGTTTAGACCGGGTTTAGACCAGGTTTAGACTGGGGTTTAGACCAGGTTTAGACTGGGGTTTAGTCCGGGGTTAGACCGGGTTTAGACCGGATTTAGACTGGGGTTTAGACTGGGGTTTAGACCGGGGTTAGACCGGTTTTAGGGGGTTTAGACTGGGGTTTAGACTGGGGTTTAGACCGGGTTTAGACCAGTTTTAGACCAGGGTCAGTCCAGGGTTTATACGAGGGTTTAATCCGAGTTTAGACCGGGGTTAGACCGGGTTTAGACTGGGTTTAGACCAGGTTTAGACTGGGTTTAGTCCTGGTCTAGTTCTATTTTAGACCCAGTTTAGACCATGTTTTAGTCCAGTTTCAGTCCTGGTCTAGTGCCTGGTCAAGTCTCCTGTTTAGTCCTGTTTTAGTCTTGGTTTAGACCCTCTTTTAGACCCTGGTTTAGTCCCAGTTTCAGTCCCGGTTTTAGTCCGTGTCTCGGTCTTCGTGCGTTCGTACTTTCGGGCCTCGTCCACGTCCTGGGGCTCTGGTTGTCGGTTGAGTCCGGCCTCCAGCTGCTCCAGTTGGGCCAGAAGCTGCTGCGCCGCCCCTGAGAACTCCTCCAGCCCCAGCCTCAGCTCCGTCCACTCCACGTGATCGTACTCCAGAGACCCGCCCAGGTCTGCGGTCAACTGAGACGGGTCGATGAGACGAGACAGGCCCTCCACCGAAACCAGGCTCGTCTGAACCAGGACCAGAGGAGAACCAGAGGAGAACCAGAGGAGGACCAGAGGAGAGGAGAACCACAGAGGAACCACAGAGGAACCAGAGGAGAACCAGAGGAGAACCAGAGGAGAACCAGAGGAGAACCAGAGGAGAACCACAGAGGAACCACAGAGGAACCAGAGGAGAACCACAGAGGAACCAGAGGAGAACCAGAGGAGAACCAGAGGAGAACCAGAGAAGAACCAGAGGAGAACCAGAGGAGAACCAGAGGAGAACCAGAGGAGGACCAGAGGAGAACCAGAGGAGAACCAGAGGAGAACCAGAGAAGAACCAGAGGAGAACCAGAGGAGAACCACAGAGGAGGAACCAGAGGAAACCAGAGGAGAACCAGAGGAGAACCAGAGGAGAACCAGAGAAGAACCAGAGGAGAACCACAGAGGAACCAGAGGAGAACCAGAGGAGAACCAGAGGAGAACCAGAGGAGAACCACAGAGGAACCAGAGGGAGAACCAGAGGAGAACCAGGGAGAGGAACCAGAGGAGAACCAGAGGAGAACCACAGAGGAACCAGAGGAGAACCACAGAGGAACCAGAGGAGGAACCAGAGGAGAACCAGAGGAGAACCAGAGAGGAACCAGAGGAACCAGAGGAGAACCACAGAGGAACCAGAGGAAACCAGAGGAGAACCAGAGGAGAACCACAGAGGAACCAGAGGAGAACCACAGAGGAGACCACAGAGGAAACCAGAGGAGAACCAGAGAGGAACCAGAGGAGAACCAGAGGAGAACCAGAGGAGAACCACAGAGGAACCAGAGGAGAACCACAGAGGAACCAGAGGAGGAACCAGAGGAGAACCACAGAGGAACCAGAGAAGAGAGGACAAGAGAGAAAATGTGAGAAACAGGCAGTGAATAAAAAAATGTTGAGTCCTGGTGAGTCCTGGTGAGTCCTGGTGAGTCCTTGTTGAGTCCCTGGTGAGTGGTGAGTCTTGAGTGAGTCCTTGGTGAGTCTTGGTGAGTCCTGGTGAGTCTTGGTGAGTCTTTGGTGAGTCCTGGTGAGTCTGGTGAGTCTTGGTGAGTCCTGGTGAGTCTTGATGAGTCCTGGTGAGTCTTGGTGAGTCCTGGTGAGTCCTGGTGAGTCTTGGTGAGTCCTGGTGAGTCTTAGTGAGTCTTGGTGAGTCCTGGTGAGTCCTGGTGAGTCTTGTTGAGTCCTGGTGAGTCTGGTGATCTTGTGAGTCTTAGTCTGGTGAGTCCCTGGTGAGTCCTGGTGAGTCCTGGTGAGTCTTGCTGAGTTCTGAGTCTTGTTGAGTCCTGGTGAGTCCTGGTGAGTCTTAGTGAGTCTTGGTGAGTCCTGGTGAGTCTTGGTGAGTCTGGTGAGTCTTGGTGAGTCTTGGTGAGTCCTGGTGAGTCGTGAGTCCTGGTCCTGGTGAGTCCTGGTGAGTCCTGGTGAGTCCTGGTGAGTCCTGGTGAGTCTTGGTGAGTCTTGGTGAGTCCTGGTGAGTCTGGTGAGTCTGGTGAGTCCTGGTGAGTCTTGGTGAGTCCTGGTGAGTCCTGGTGAGTCTTGGGAGTCTGGTGAGTCCTGGTGAGTCTTGGTGAGTCTGGTGAGTCTGGTGAGTCCTGGTGAGTCTGGTGAGTCTGGTGAGTCTTGAGTGGTGAGTCCTGGTGAGTCCTGGTGAGTTCCTGGTGAGTCTTGGTGAGTCCTGGTGAAGAGTCCTGGTGAGTCTTTGGTGAGTCCTGTGTGAGTCTGGTGAGTCTTGGTGAGTGAGTCCTGGTGAGTCCTGTGAGTCTGGGGAGTGGTGAGTCCTGGTGAGTCCTGGTGAGTCCTTGGTGAGTCTGGTGAGTCCTGGTGAGTCTTGGTCTGGTGAGTCTGGTGAGTCTTGGTGAGTCCTGGTGAGTCTGGTGAGTCCTGGTGAGTCTTGAGTCCTGGTGAGTGGTGAGTCCTGGTAGCTCCTGGTGGTGAGTCCTTGGTGAAGTCCTGGTGAGTCCTGGTGAGTCTTGGTGAGTCTTGGTGAGTCTGGTGAGTCTGTGAGTCTTGAGTCTGGTGAGTCTTGGTGAGTCCTGGTGAGTCCTGGTGAGTCCTGACCTCAAAGCTGAGTTTGGCGCTGCCCAGGTTGGTCTTGTGCTTTTGCCAGAAGGTGTCGGGTTTGATGAGCAGCGCCGTGTGGATCTGCCCCGAGAAAACCTCCTGCAGAGTCCTGAGAACCGGCTTCACACTGTCCCACTTGGAGCCGCGCATGTCCACCACCACGGTGAAGCCTCGGCTGCGCACGTCCTCACTGTGGACACACAAAACAGTCAGATGCCCTCCCACAGAACCGGTCTAACACAGTCCCACTAGGTCCTCCCACCCTTTTATACCCTAATACATATAGACCAGGTTTAGACTGGGTTTAGATTGGGTTTAGACCGGGTTTCAATCCCTGGTGTAGTCTATGTTTAGTCTTNTGGTGAGTCCTGGTGAGTCTTGATGAGTCTTGAGTCTTGGTGAGTCCTGGTGAGTCTTGGTGAGTCCTGGTGAGTCTTGGTGAGTCCTGGTGAGTCCTGGTGAGTCCTGGTGAGTCCTGGTGAGTCCTGGTGAGTCCTGGTGAGTCTTGGTGAGTCTTGGTGAGTCCTGGTGAGTCCTGGTGAGTCTTGGTGAGTCCTGGTGAGTCCCTGGTGAGTCCTGGTGAGTCTTGGTGAGTCTGGTGGAGTCCTGGTGAGTCTTGGTGAGTGAGTCTTGTGAGTGAGTCCTTGGTGAGTCCTGGTGAGTCTTGATGAGTCTGGTGAGTCCTGGTGAGTCTTGGTGAGTCTTGGTGAGTCTTGGTGAGTCTTGGTGAGTCTTGGTGAGTCCTGGTGAGTCCTGGTGAGTCCTGGTGAGTCTTGGTGAGTCTTGGTGAGTCCTGGTGAGTCCTGGTGAGTGAGTCTGGTGGTGAGTCTGGTGAGTCTTGGTGAGTCCTGGTGAGTCCTGGTGAGTCTTGTTGAGTCCTGGTGAGTCCTGGTGAGTCTTGGTGAGTCTTGGTGAGTCCTGGTGAGTCTTGGTGAGTCTTGGTGAGTCTTGGTGAGTCCTTGGTGAGTCTTGGTGAGTCTTGGTGAGTCTTGGTGAGTCTTGGTGAGTCTTGGTGAGTCTTGGTGAGTCTTGGTGAGTCTTGGTGAGTCCTGGTGAGTCCTGGTGAGTCCTGGTGAGTCCTGACCTCAAAGCTGAGTTTGGCGCTGCCCAGGTTGGTCTTGTGCTTTTGCCAGAAGGTGTCGGGTTTGATGAGCAGCGCCGTGTGGATCTGCCCCGAGAAAACCTCCTGCAGAGTCCTGAGAACCGGCTTCACACTGTCCCACTTGGAGCCGCGCATGTCCACCACCACGGTGAAGCCTCGGCTGCGCACGTCCTCACTGTGGACACACAAAACAGTCAGATGCCCTCCCACAGAACCGGTCTAACACAGTCCCACTAGGTCCTCCCACCCTTTTATACCCTAATACATATAGACCAGGTTTAGACTGGGTTTAGATTAGGTTTAGACTGGGTTTAGATTGGGTTTAGACCGGGTTCAATCCCTGGTGTAGTCTATGTTTAGTCTTATTTTAGTCCTGGATTAAGACCTTGGTTTAGTCCTCTTTTAGTCCTAATTTAGTCCTCTTTTAGTCCTGGTTTAGTCTCTGTTTTACTCCTGTTTTGGACCCTAGTTTAGTCCCCTGTTTAGTCCTGGTTTCATCCTTGTTTAGTCTTGGTTTAGTCCCTGTTTTGGTCCTGGTTTAGTCCTGGTTTAGATCCTGGTTAAGTCCTGTTTTAGTCCTTATTTAGTCCTCGTTTAGTCCTGGTTTCATCCTTGTTTAGTGTTGGTTTAGTCTCTGTTTTAGTCCTGGTTTAGTCCCTTTTTTAGTCCATCTTTAGTCTTGTTTTAGTCCTGTTTTAGTCCTCTTTTAATCCTAGTTTAGTCCCTGTTTTGGTCCTGGTTCAGTCCTCTTTTGGTCCTGGTTTAGTCCCTTTTTTAGTCCAGCTTTAGTCCTGTTTTAGTCCTGTTTTTGTCCTTTTAATCCTAGTTTAGTCTCTGTTTTTGGTCTTGCTTTAGACACTGGTTTAGTCCAGTTTTAGTCCTGTTTTCATCCTCCTTTCGTCCTGTTTTAGACCCTGGTTTAGTTCTGATCCCAGTCCCGGTCTCTTGTGGTCGTGGTTCAGGTTGTCCTATAATAATCAGTGTAAGTTTTACCTGGGGACGGTGGACAGGTAAGTGACCAATCGGCTGAGGTCTTCCTGTTTTATTCTGTCGTGATTGGTTCTGGCAGGAAAAGTCAGAATCGGCCCTCCGCGTTTGTCCCGCCCACCTGCACACAAACACACACACAGGAGTTTGATTGGTTGATTTGAGTCTGAGTTGATTTGAGTCTGAGTTGATTTGAGTCTGAGTTGATTTGAGTCTGAGTTGATTTGAGTTTGAGTTTGTTTGAGTCTGAGTTGATTTGAGTTTGTTTGAGTCTGAGTTGATTTGAGTTTGAGTTGATTTGAGTTTGAGTTGATTTGAGTTGAGTTGATTTGAGTCTGAGTTGATTTGAGTCTGAGTTGATTTGAGTTTGAGTTGATTTGAGTCTGAGTTGATTTGAGTCTGAGTTGATTTGAGTTTGAGTTTGTTTGAGTCTGAGTTGATCTGAGTCTGAGTTGATTTTGAGTTGAGTTGAGTTTGAGTTTGAGTTGATTTGAGTCTGAGTTGATTTGAGTTTGAGTTTGTTTGAGTCTGAGTTGATTTTTGAGTCTGAGTTTGAGTTTGAGTCTGAGTTGATTTGAGTCTGAGTTGATTTGAGTTTGAGTTGATTTGAGTCTGAGTTGATTTGAGTTTGAGTTTGAGTTTGAGTTTGATTTGAGTTTGTTTGAGTTTGAGTTGATTTGAGTTTGAGTTGATTTGAGTCTGAGTTGATTTGAGTCTGAGTTGATTTGAGTCTGAGTTGATTTGAGTTTGAGTTTGAGTTTGAGTTTTGAGTTTGATTTGAGTTCTGAGTTGATTGAGTTTGAGTTTGAGTTTGAGTTTGAGTTGAGTTTGAGTTTGAGTTGAGTTGATTTGAGTCTGAGTTTATTTGAGTTTGAGTTTGAGTGAGTTGAGTTTGAGTTTGAGTTTGATTTGAGTTTGTTTGAGTTGATCTGAGTTTGAGTTGATTTGAGTTTGAGTTTGAGTTTGAGTTTGTTTGAGTTTGAGTTGATTTGAGACTCGTACGGAGCAGATGTGAACAGTTTTGTACCTGAGACGAAGGCCACTTTCTCTCTGAGCACCGTGAGGACATCCACCGCCCGAACTGTGTCCTTTTTGTCTGACCCTGAAACAAAAAAACACAAAACACCACATTTATTTGCTAAAACTCCTCCACAGAAATGTTTTCCCACAATCGTTTAAAACCACTGAAATTATGTGTAATATTTTTTCCTCTAACAGAGGCCGAGGTGAGAGGAGCCACAGGAGTCAGAGGAGTCAGAAGAGTCAGAGGAGTCAGAGTCAGAGGAATCAGAGTCAGAGGAATCAGAAGAGTCAGAGGAGTCAGAGTCAGAGTCAGAGTCAGAAAGGAGTCAGAGGAATAGGAGTCAGAGGAGTCAGAGTCAGAGGAGTCAGAGTCAAAGGAGTCAGAGGAATAAGAGTCAGAGGAGTCAGAGGAGTTAGAGGAGTCAGAGGAGTCAGACAGAGTCAGAGGAGTCAGAGGAGTCAGAGGAGTCAGAGGAGTCGGAGTCAGAGTCAGAGGAGTCAGAGGAGTCAGAGTCAGAGGAGTCAGAGGAAGAGGAGTCAGAGGAATCAGAGTCAGAGGAGTCAGAGTCAAAGGAGTCAGAGGAAAAAGAGTCAGAGGAGTCAGAGGAGTCAGAGGAGTCAGAAGAGTCAGAGTCAGAGGAGTCAGAGGAGTCAGAGGAGTCAGAGTCAGAGTCAGAGGAGTCAGAGTCAGAGGAGTCAGAGTCAGAGGAGTCAGAAGAGTCAGAGTCAGAGGAGTCAGAGTCAGAGGAGTCAGAGTCAGAGGAGTCAGAGTCAGAGTCAGAGTCAGAGTCAGAGTCAGAGGAGTCAGAAAGTCAGAGTCAGAGTCAGAGTCAGAGTCAGAGTCAGAGGAGTCAGAGTCAGAAGAGTCAGAAGGAGTCAGAGTCAGAGGAGTCAGAGTCAGAGGAGTCAGAGTCAGAGGAGTCAGAGTCAGAGTCAGAGTCAGAGGAGTCAGAGTCAGAAGAGTCAGAGTCAGAGTCAGAGAGTCAGAGTCAGAGTCAGAGAGTCAGAGTCAGAAGAGTCAGAGTCAGAGGAGTCAGAGTCAGAGAGAGAGAGCCTCAGTTTCCTGATTATCCACGACATTTTCAGGACTTTTGATCATTTTAAAAGAGAATATTTAGTTTAAATTATTAATATTGCCATGGCAACGCTGCTAATTTTTCATCTCTCTGAAACCCCCAGATAAAGACGAGCGTTTAGTCCTGGTTTAGTCCTGGTTTAGTCCTGGTTTAGACTCTTTTCAGGGACTCTGGTCTTTGTTGTAAAAGTGTGTGGAGGAGACAGTTTGAGTGACAGGACACAGTGGATCTTTTCAACAAGAGACACTGAACAACTGAAGAACTGAAGAGAGGAGAGGAGGGATGGAGGAGAGGAGGGAGGAGATGGAGAGGAGGAGGAGGAGGAGGAGGAGGGATGGAGGAGAGGGAGGAGGAGGGAGGAGGAGAGGAGGGATGGAGGAGAGGAGGAGAGGAGGGATGGAGGGAGGAGGGAGATGGAGGAGAGAGGAGGAGATGGAGGGAGGAGGAGGAGAGGAGGAGAGAGGAGGAGATGGAGGAGAGGGAGGAGGATGGAAGGAGAGAGAGTGAATGGGGGGAGAGATGAAACACTCCAGTGAGACACAACTGACAAAAAGAGAATTACTTTGCTTAAAATGTCAGACTAAATCTAACCAAGAAACCACAAATATACTGCATACAATCCACAAATACTACAGATACTACAAATACTACAAATACTACTGCTACTACTACTACAAATACTACCACTGCTACTACTGCAATCAGTCTGGGATCAAACTGTTTAACACAAGGACACACACCACAAGAAACTCATGACTACAGGCAATGACTTCATCTCCTCCTCTGACCCTCTGCTCCTCTGACCCTCTGCTCCTCTGACCCTCTCCTCCTCTGACCCTCTCCTCCTCTGACCTCCTCTGACCCTCTGACCCTCCTCCTCTGACTCTGCTCCTCTGACTCCTCTGACCCTCTCCTCCTCTGACCCTCTCCTCCTCTGACCCTCTCTCCTGACCCTCTGACTCTGCTCTGACTCTGACCCTCTCCTCCCCTCTCTCTCTGACCCTCTGCTCCTCTGACCCTCTGCTCCTCTGACCCTCTCCTCCTCTTGTATCCTTCTCTTCTGTTTATCATGTGTAAAAAAACATGTTTAATCTGTGATGTTCTTAAATCAGTCACAGACGAATCACCTCCAGAGCTTCAGACAAACAGGTACAAACACAACAGACACGAGACAAGAGGACAGAAGGACAGAAGGACAGGACAGAAGAGGACAGAAGGACAGAAGGACAGGACAGAAGGACAGAAGGAGACCCGCAGGAGACAGGAGCAGGACAGGAGCAGGACAGGAG